TACACGCAGAAAGCTAATGTGGTTGTTACACACACATATTCTATGGTTAGAATCGGAAAAACTCTCATTTAACTCAGATTTGAGTATCTTATCTGAAAGAAATTTCAAGATCAAATTAAGATCTGTATTAATCATTTTTACTTGAAGTTTGTCTCACGTGAGATACTTTTTTTCAGAATTAGATTGAAGTTCTCCTTTTTTCAATTGAATTATATGACTTACATTATATCTGCAATCGCAATTCAATTGAAAACTCAACTTCAACTCTCATCTAACTCTAAACTTAAATTTAAGTATCTCATTTGAGAAAAGTAATAACTATTAATACGGGTCTAACAGTCTGATAAATGCGACGTCACATAACGCGGGCAGTCCCAGTAAAAACTATAAATATATTAATTTATATAATAACTAATATAATATAAACCATATAATATATTAGCTTTTTGATAATATTGTCACGGATGAACTATATTAAAGATCGACCTTAAAGATTTAATATCATTAATAGGAGTCAATGAAGAAAATAAGAGTCAATATTAATAAGAGTCAATTAAGAAAATTAAATGTACAAGCTATTGGAACCTACCTTGATGTTGCGGTTGTTTACTGCTGTTTTCTCCATGTTGAAGCTTGAAGATATACTCGTTCAAGAATTATTTAATATTTGAACTTGCCTTTATATTTTCAATTACATTGTTATTATTTAATATTCAATTATCTCAATATGTTTTATCAGAATTTCATGTTTAGATCACACATAGAAAAATGTATACATTCAAATAAATAAATGGTCTTCGATCATCCAATTAGTTATACAAAAAAAGAGAAAACACATCTGACCGAACCCCCGCGCGGTTTTCATTTTATTAACGATGCATTTTTCCGGAGCATATACCTCGCGGCGCTCAAATTTCATGGAGATATCTCCCGACGATATCACGTAAATTCCCTTTGGGAATTAAAAAAAAAAGAGAAGAGAAAAAGAAGCTCAGACGACGCATCGCACCGAGCATAATATTTCGATATCGCCTAACCGCAATTTCGCTCTCTTTCTCGCGGCTCCCCACTTTACCACAATGTGGCCGACACTTTCAGCTTTATCACGCTCATTCCGCAGCTTCTACACACCGCCGTTCGCGACACAAATACGTTTCACGTCGTTTTCGTCTTGCCCGCGGCCGACGTCGGGTTCGGCCGCCACCATCAGCTAACCGTACATTTAGAGCTAAACGTGCTCTTTTGATTCTCGGGTCTAGAGTAATCTGCGTGTGACGAGTAGAGCTTAAGTATCGTGCGACTGCGTTCATCGCTAAACCCGCAGTTTTATGGCGGTTAAATGTACGGTTACACGTGGCTACGTGTAAGGTGACCAGATTTCTCTGAATTGGGGACCTTCATAAATGTGTGAAGCGGAGGGGGGAGGGTAAAAAAATCCGAAAATTATTTAACAATCATTGGAAATGATGACAAATTGGTATCCCGAATAGCACTCGAGAAAATTCGGAACAAAGGATGAAAAATCGCGACTATCCCGAAAAAATCGAGATGTCTGATCACTTTACTATATGCGAACAGTCAATTAGAACGTTGACTTTCAACGGGCAGCAACCAATGGATGACTGGCATTATGATTTTATTTTATATTAGTTCACAGAAACGTGTATATTTGGCGTAACATTGATTACACAGAGATAATATTAGTTTTTTTTTCTTTTTTGACATATTTTTAATCATTTTACTGTGACCAATTTTTAATCATTTTACTTTTGACCAATTTTTAATCATTTTACTGTGTTTCTAGCAGCGCAAAAGTATACTGCCAGTAAAATTTATCTTACTAAAGAATGTAATAAATTTTTTAACTCTCTAAGTGGTCTTGAAGAAAAATTCCAATACCATTTAAGGCGTTAAACATAAAGAAAAATTCTGTGGAAAAGTATGAAATTTCTTTGGATTTACTTAAATTATTATATTTTCTTTTATAACTTATAGCAAGATAAATCTTTCTATAATTCATAGCAGGACAAATCAAATATATATTATATATTTTGTTTTTTTAATTCTTCAATAATAAAAGCAATAAAGAGGAAAGAAATCTAAATATTCTTATTTAAATAAAAGCTCTGTGGAAATTGCGCACTGATTTTAAATTGTGAGAAGAGACACAATTTCAATTTTTTAAATATAAATAGTACATTTGAAATGAAAGGATAATAAATTACTGTAGAATTTCAGTCTATTCAATTACTAAATTCTATAAATAATAATATTCTATAATAATATGTTTCTCTTAGTTGTTGATATTACTAATAGTAAAATTTTTAAGATTCTGTAGTAAATTTTACTATAAAATTCTCTCCGTGTATTTGAACTCTACTTATTCTCTAAATATCTTGAAGTGAAATTTCATGCGGTAAGTAAAGCGACAGCTGAAGTCGCATTAGAGTTCGAATGATTTTGTACTTATACAGAGTGAATTCTCCACTCTGAATCGTTGAGTGAATATTCTCAATCGAAATCGAAGAGTCAAACTGATGTATTTCATCATTACCGGAATAAAGATCATTCTAAGTGAAATATTTTCTCTTATACTGAGAAAAAATGTTTAGTATTTATAACTATAAGCACATAAAATGTTCTACATAAAATGTTCTATTATTGTGTTCTCAAGAAAACCATTTTTTTGTTAAATTCTATTATAATGTTAATGATAATTATTCTGTGCATGTTACTATTATTTTTTTATCAGCATAACGAAAAGATATGATTTGTGCCGAAAATAACTATGATTAATGAAATAACTATAATTTCAATTAGAGATCAATCATTATTTTCTCTCAATGTACGATTTCGAGCGATAATATCTCTATTTATTGTTTCGAATGAATTCTCACTCGCTTAGAGTGATCGCTGGTTGAAACATAAGTTCTAATTAAGTCTGCAAATATCAAACTTGTAGGCCAGTGAAGAGTCTCAAGATACAGCGTTTATATACAGACTATTGGGTGCTTTGATGTTACTAATTGAGTTAACCCTTTGAAGCACAAGACCTTCAAAATTCGGATTCTAATAAAATATTCATGTCACATGTCCAGAATAGCAACCCGAGAGATCGTTCCTTTTGAAATCAGTTTTTTCTATTTCTTCCTATTTTTACTAAAACTGCGCGCAAACTGAAGCGAATATTACAAGTGACAAGAAACCGGTAAAGTGCATCACTATGTATAGAATGAGCAATGATTTTGTTGGGAGATCACTATACCTGAAGCTATAATTTGGTTCTAATAGGTGATTTCACAGTGAAACCACTTCAAAGGATTAAAGAAGTAATGTTAAGAACGTTTACCCGAGTCGAAATTTTGATTCTGCATTGACCCTGCAAATTCTGTCGAACTTGAAGAGTCAATGAAGAAAATGAGATGTACAAACTATTGGAACCTACCTTGATGTTGCGGTTGTTTACTGCTATTTTTTCCATGTTGAAGCTTGAAAACATACTCAAGAATTATTTGAACTCACCTTTATTTTCAATTACATTGTTATTATTTAATATTCAATTATCTCGATATGTTTTATCAGAATTTCACGTTTAGATCACACACAGAAAAATGTATACTGCATTCAAGTAAATATTATTTATTTCAAGTATTTCATAAAAATTTATATATCCGCAAATCTATCCTAAGAGAGTTTATCACAAATATCAAATTTATTTGAAATACATTGTGAGAATGTTAGTAAAAGTTCATCATTTCTATCAAGAACATTAAATTAGAAAAATTAAATTAAAAAAATTTGTTTTGCTTATTGCATAGAATTGAGCCAACTTTTTCCTCGATAAAACTTTATAATATGCAAAGAGATTAAATTTTTCTTTCGATGATACATTTCTCTAAAATATTTCTGGTGAATATATTTTAAGACTATTATCAAGAAAATATTCTTTTTCGAAAATAATAATTACTTAGATAAAAGAAGATAAATTGAATAATCGTTTTTTTAGAATAATATTTATTTTTGTAGAATGATATTTTTCTGTGTGTGTGAACCGCTTGAAATTCGCCGCGAAAAAGCCGTGAGTTGACGATGAAGATTCGAGATTTAATGTTCACTTTGATGAACAAAATGACGAAGTCTAGAAACGCACGATACGATCAAAGTCTTCGCTTCGCGAAAAAAAATGTCGATATCCAATTGTTATAGAAATCACACGATAATTAACAATAAACAAAGTTATTTCGTATAATAATATTCATATTAATTAGCAAATATAAACAATTAGCAATTAGCGAAGTATGCCGGCCTAATTATATTTGAATGAAATTTATATAGACAAAAGCAAATGTTAAATTGTGTAATGAAGATTCGTGTGTAGGTAAATGGATAAGAAAACAACACATTAATCTCATCTTTTCCTAATTTTCTTTTTCTTTTTTCATGGAAGTTTTGATGAGATTTTTAGCTCTTAAAAGAACTGATGTGAAACTGAAAAGACAAAAACAACAGTTACGTTATTAATAATCCAATAATGCTGTTCATCAATAGCGATTCAGATTCGATACAACGCGACAAAGGCTAAATAGAAGCAAAAAAAAGGCATTGACTAATGTCAATGAAATGTCGGATATTCACAGCTAAAGAAGCATTATTAGACGTCACACAAGATCAGCAATCGTAAGACTTATATTTTAAGGCCGGTATTCATAGAGTCGTGATTTATTTAAGATCTTTGATCGAGAAAATAATTAATTACAAACTCGTATTCGTGGGCCGTTACTCGATTGTTGGATCAATGTTTCTTGTATGAAATATCATGTAATAAATATACAGATTGACGGTTCGTCGGAGATCAATGAAGCTATAATTATATGTCGAATAGTAATGACAACTATGAATGCCGGCCTAAATTTCGACTCGGGTGTTTCCTTATTTGCGGTAAGTTCGTCAGGCGTCCGTTAAAGATGGAAACTTCCTGTATAATAAATGATTTGACATACCTTGAAGATATATGAAGATGTATGAAGTATCAATGTCCGCGTCCCGGCATCCTGTGTCTTCGTCCTGGCTTCTCGACTCATCCAGCATCCTGACTGCTCCATCGTGACACTGACACTCGCGTAATAACGAATTAATCAAAGTTCACACGTGTTTAATAATGCGATGCCGACGAAAGGCTAACTGAATATCCCGACGAAATAATTCAATCAGCCGAGGGAAACGATAGATAACGCGCTGACACGTTAGTCCGTTGTGTGCGTGTCACTCGCCGACCCGACACTGAATGAAAACACCCGGGAAGTCCGCGAGGCACGCGGGTAAATTTAACCGTCTTGAAGGTCCTGAATGTTTTGACTGTGTAGAGAAACAATAGATAACGCACCGGCGCACGTGATCCGTTGTATACATGTCGCTCGCCGGCCCGAAACTGAATGGAAACATCTGAAAAAATCGAAATACAAAGATGTTAGCGATAAGAAGGGATGAGTTTATATTTCTTGCCGATTTTTTCAATACTCTCGTAAACTTTGTTTTTATAACTCGCGAACGTTACGTTATGTTTCAAGCAAAATTTTGCAAGTGTTTAAGCAATATCTCTAATTTTTTTATTTACGCATGTTACATTCGTATATATATTTTTAAACAATAAAAGTGAATAAATATGTTTTACTATACGCATTTATTTTTTCTCAACTCTTTCTTCTCACTGCTTCTTATTGCAATATCAACAAAGAAAGTTGAGAATTATATAAAAAATCATTTTTCATTACCATATGCGTTTATTCTTTCTTAATTCTTTCTCCTCACTGCTTCTTATTGCAATGCCAACAAAGAGAGCTAGGAATTATATTAAAAATCATTTATATTAAATATTTTCACCTTGCAAGTGGTAATATTTCTCTGCAGTATCGCGAATGCGATGATAAATCATGACGAATCGTCGAACTTCAGAGAAAGATATTAACATTGTGAATAATCACGATGCTCTTATGTTCACTTGACAACCATTCGCCGGCATTTGGATCATTCTGAAACGTTCACGCTCCGTCCACGGGGCGCAGAGGGAGATACGCGTTCACGTTGTCTCTGCGCGACAAAAACTGAAAAATATAGCCGCCATACCGTTCGCTATTTCGTCGAGGGTGGATCGAGGGGTAGATTCGCGCGAGACGACCTACATCCATTCTCCTTATCCTCCCGTCTCTAACCCACGGAAACCCACAGAAGCCCGTTTCCACCGCGCCTTAATCTCGTTTTCCGCGATAAAGGCGGACGCTCGTGACCCTTCCTTCTCTTTCTCCACCTCTCCCTTCCTCCACTTCTGCTCCCTCGCGGTTGAAAAATTGTGAAACAGCGAATGCGTCCGCGAGGAAGAAGAAGAAGAAGAAAAGGAGCAGGACGAAGAGGATAAATGTGTTGCGTTATGGTGCACGGTAACGTGGCTATCGACCCGTGGAGGCGACGACGACGGCGACGGACAGACGGATGACGTTCTTCCACACGTTGATATCTCTGCACGTGCGTGGGTATCTCGCGCGGTCGGCTTTGTCCCGCGGAGAAATTCACCGCGTGTCGTTAAGCCGGGGCCAAATCCACCCCGGCTTCCTTTACCGGCCGGTCGGTCTGCAGAAAGCCGAGAGTGGTAACGCCTAATTCCGAAACAAGTACATCCGTCTTCGTTCCGAGTCGGAGTAGCCGAGAAAGTAAGAGGAACGTGATTAATGCCACTTCGACTGTGCGTGATTTCTCTCTCTCCCCTCCCCCCCTTCCCCATCTTTCCCCATCTCTCTTTCTTAGCTATCAGGAATGCTTGCTCCTTTTCACTTTTTCACTATATATATATATATATATATATATATATATATATATATATATGCATTGCATTTATTTATATATTTCAACAAATAATTATCACCTTTACGCTTGAAAGAAATTTTCCTAAAGCGCAAATCTCCCTCCCTTCTTTCTTTTCTTTCTCTTCCTTTCTTTTTTCTTTCTTTTTCTTTCTTTTTCGCTCGCTGGCTCTTTCTTCGTCGTGTTCGCCCGAAACCGTGCGGCGAACAATTTCTGGTGAAACGCGAATATTATTCCGCAAAAGTCTGGCCAATGGTAGTCGCAATCATCCGCCGCAGCCGTTGTATGACCTTCACATAGACTTTCTCGCGTGCACGACATGACGGGAACCATCGTATACCATCGTTAAATTGGTATGTCTAACATAAAGAGGGAGAATCAAGTCTGCAAAGAAGACTCATTCTGTGTCGATAAAAATCCAGTCTTCGTTAGAATTAACATTAAGCGAGTTAGCTTTTGAGTTTAAAATATTCACCAACTTAGATGCTTGCAAAATATGAGGAACAAGATCTTAGTTATATACGCATCTTGCGAATTTCTTTGATTTTAACATAGGTTATAAAGAATCGAATTTTCCTAAGTTATCTTGCGACTCCCACATAGCTTAAAGCATTGGATGACATAGTTTCTCCTTTTTTAAAATATATTAAGATCAAAGAAATCCTTTTTTATGTATAATTACCGAAAATAAAATTCACGTTTTATATTCATAATAACGAAGCTCCCGTTAGAATCCACATAACGAGTCGCTTTTTGACTTAAAATGTTCCTCATTGACTCGGGAAAACAATTTCGTTAGTGAAAATTGAATTTTCTGTTACTTGGGGAAAATCAAATGAAAAACTCGGTTGTAGGGACAGAAAGATTCCCTTAGGAGACCTCTACTCAGCAAATTGCTCTTAGTTATCTCAACCGAGTTTTCATGCAGCTGAATGTTCAGACGAATATTTACGGTCACAGTAAACAGAGATATTACTTCTCGTCAGCGAGCTTTTCGTCTGCCCCCAATTCAGTTAACCGAACTGTTTCCTTCCGTGAAGATACTTGTGGGATATAGAAAAGCATATTTTTTACGCTAACTCCTCGTAAAATTACTCTCAAATATCATAATTGTATATTCCGTTTGTCGTTCTTGAGAACACCTAAAGAGCGTTGAATTGTAATGTATACACTTTGCGATTTTTTTACTTCGAGTATCGAAGGTTATCGTGAGAGTTGGCGTCCTCATTTACAAATGTGAATTCCCACTAAGCTACTCGAGCGGTAAAACGAGAGCAAACTGTTCTCATGTTAACTACATTAGCAGCTAATTAGCACTTGATTCTAGTTGCCATTTCGATCTTCCATCTTGGGGATGCCAGCTTAACAGATGCATTACTGTCTCGTGTCGGTCATCGGCCGGTGTATGGTCGTCGGCTACGCGTAACCGTCAACGACCATGTCAGCGAGATGGATCTTGGCTTGAAAGGGACAGAAGGGGACACGAAAGTTGATAAACTCGAATGATGAATGATGCTCGATCACGTTACGCGTGCGTAACGAGAACGGCGGCGGATTAAAATGAATCGCAGCGCCCCTTCTTAGTGAGAATCGTTGTTCGATATACGAAAACGACATTCCCCGACTTTTAATTAAACAGGGAGTGGATGCAAACAGGGGATGAAGGATGCGGTGTATTAATTGCGCCGCGAGTTCGCCGAGTGGACGATTATATTATTATTAGCGCTTTCGCGCGCGACCGAGTAAGTGTAGCGCGGCTTTTTGCTCTTAAAAGCCGCCAGTTGTTGGCACAAGCATTACTACGTTTCTGTCTCGGAGGCTAAAGTTTAATAAGAGTGACTGCGAAAGTGAGAGGAAAAAAGAGAGAAAGAAAAAGACATGGGTCATTAAAAAAATACACGACCTAACACAGAAATAGCGCGAATTTGGCCAAATCTGTATTATATTTCAGAGATACTCTTTATTAGGTTAAGTACGACAGTATAGAGTGATTTCTTGATTAGTCTTCGCTTGACAGTGCACCAAAGTGAATGCCTGGGACGTCTCTGTACGTAAATTGTTTCCCTTGTTTTTGGAGCGAAGGGTTAGACTCAAGTTTCACAACAGCGATTATAAATCAATGTCAAAAATCTCCTTGAAATTGCGACAAGCAATTATGCCAAAAGATGTGAAAAACAATGAAGCTGATCGGTTCAGTCTTTGTTGGTGCGACCAAACGCAGGACCCATCATTCGCGGAGTTTACTTTGACGCGAACGAAGACTGATCAACAGATCACTCTATACTGTCACACTTAATCTAATAAAGAAAGATTCTGAAAAACACGGTAATAAACATTTGACCAAATTCGCGTCATCTTTACGCCACGTACTTTGTCAACGACCCACGTATAAGTATAGAGAGCGCGCACACAGATCACGTAAGATCCATTCTTGCGGGCACGTGAACATGAAATTACTTCCCGAAATTCGCTCGAGCTTACGCAGCGCGCGATATGTCGTACGTTGAGCACGTTAGGACTCCGTCGACGGTATAGACGCGGGAATAGATATGCCGCGAACGGGATTTGCGAGATTTCGGCGGAACATGTGGCGGGGCGGCGGAGGGAGAGGGCGGGCGAGGGTGCGGCGAGAATAACCGGCCGAGTTCTGTCGGCATAATCCGACATCGCGCGCCAATGTGTATTCTACGCGCTGGATTGATGACCAGCGGCGTGGAACGCCGTGCGCTAATCTGACACGTTCGCCGGTCGAACTCCGGCGTAGACGGCGAAACTGATCGCTCGCTTCTGATTCGCGAGCCAATTTCGGCGACTTAATCTAAATTTCATTTAACGCGACCCGCCGGCGCGTCTACAATTATCGGCGCCGTAATTACATTCTCAAAGCGGCGGCGCGGCGAACGGCGCCTCCGAACAATCGACACTCGCCGCCGCCGTCGTCGACTATGTCGCCCGTGCGCTGCGAGCTATACAGGATGTCCCAGATCGATTTCGCAATCTCTCGTGAGCAGTTTGAGATGAACAAGAAAGTTTTGCGAAAATAGCAGTAATGATCGAGATATTAATTGTAAAAGATTTGTCAATAATCACGCATAGTGATAAATGAGCACGTAGTGACGATGTCTGCGGTGTACGCTTATAAATTAAGTCAAACTGAACAAGAAAGTCCTTTACAATTTTGCAAGTAACCACGTAGATGTTTAGTTATTAATGAAAGAAGATTGTTCCGCGATTTCGCGCGATAATGTACTAATTTTGTTTAATTAATAACTAAAAATCTACATAGACACTTGCAAAATAATAGAGGACTTTTTTGTTTAGTTTAACCTGATTTATACAACGACAGACGTTGCCACGACTTACCTATCGTATCGAGCGTCATTATTTATAAATCTTCTTTAATCCATTAAGGCTCATGACAGACCAATAGATATAACGAAAAGTTGAATGTAATAACGCGCATTATCTCTGTCTCTCTTGAGAAAGAGCGTTCTCCCCTTTCGTCAAAAGTCGCGCACTCTACGCGACTCTAAAAAAAGGGAGGAAGAGCTGTCGTATTTTGGAGCTTGCGAAAGCTCCCCGGATTA